ATCGATTTTATTTTTGGAAATTTCAACTAATTTTGTAATTTGAATTGTTCTAAAAGTTTTTTTATAACATCCTCCGATTCCTGAGTGTTACAAACAGCTTTTTTTCTTTGCAAAATCAGTTTTTCTTGCTTTTTTTTTGCAAATTTGAGGTTGATCAGAATTTCTCATCAATTAATTTTTAAATCCTCAGAATAATTTGACAGGAAATGTTATTATGCCATTATTTATTTCTGGCGAAAATTGATTTTGGTGACTTTTCTGCAAGTTTCAAGTTGATCAGAATGTCTGATCAATCTTATTTCTGTGGCGAATCGATTTTCTTTTTGGAAATTTCAACTAATTTTGTAATTTGAATTGTTCTAAAAGTTTTTTTATAACATCCTCCGATTCCTGAGTGTTACAAACAGCTTTTTTTCTTTGCAAAATCAGTTTTTCTTGCTTTTTTTTTGCAAATTTGAGGTTGATCAGAATTTCTCATCAATTAATTTTTAAATCCTCACAATAATTTGACAGGAAATGTTATTATGCCNTAAAATTTGCTTTAAAATGATTGTTATTTCATGTTGATATCTCAATTTGTTCTTGAGATACAATCTTTTAAAGTTTATCTTTGTACCACTTTGTTAATTTTGCGATTTTGGGGCTTTTTCGAGTTATTTTCATTATCAGATTTAGCAATTTTGTAATTGGTACAAGTTTCTTTTACCGAAACAATTTTTTATTAACTTTTTAATAATAATAATTTGTTCATCAACTTCAATTTAATCTCGCGATCATTAATTTTGATTCGTTAACATCGAATCGTTAATAAACTTGTCAAAAATTAGCGGTTTCGATCATACAGAACTGATGACAGGACCGTATTCAAGCGGAAAACTGACTGATGACTCGGTTGGTAGTTGAGTGACGTTCGTTGACAGGGACCAATTAATAACCGTGAGCGAACGAACGGCCAATTTGCGCCAACTCGTCTCAATAAACCTGGAGGAACATCCCCAACCCTTAAAACAAATCGATGATTAATAAATAAATTTTTTTTCTTATTATTATTATTATTTTTTTTAGTAAGAAGGAGATATCTTGGTCAAATATTCGCGAAATTCATGGTTGTTTCCCCCCCGATTTCAACGTTGGCTATTCCGGGGAGCCCTTTACCACCTTCATTAGGGGAGGGCCCCAGTATAAATTATCGTGTCCGTATAATTCACGCGAGCGGACCCGGGGGCATATTTCAGTTCCGCCCCTCGCGTTTGTTCCCCCGCGAACCGCCGCCGCCACCATCACAAGAGGAGAGACAATGGACCCGCTGAATGGCAATTGAACTAACGGGGCTACGTATGCGAAATAAGAGATATACGCGTTAATGGGGTAGATAAAAGAGAATTATTGTAAAAATTTTAATTTTAACTCATTTTCTAATTTGAATCGTTATGATAACAATACTAAGTTTTCCTAGTCCACTTCGAGTCCAATACGACTCGTTGTTGTGACTATTCATCATTTTCAAGAAGAAAATTTTATTATGCCATTACCTACTTCGTTGAAAAATTGATTTTGCTGAAATTTTGTCAAATTTCAAACTGATAAGAGTTTCTGATCAATTAATTTTCAACTCCACATCATTCTCAATAACGAATATGAAAGAATAATTTTTTTGCCAAACTCTATTTCTTGAAAAACTTGATTTTCTTTGATTTTTTGCTAAATTCAAGCTGATCAGAATTTTATGCCATTATTTACTTCTTGCGAAAATTGATTTTGATGACTTTTCTGCAAATTTCAAGTTGATAACAGAATTTCTTATTAGTTTAGTTTCAACTGTAACGTAATATGAAAGGAAAATGTTTTTGCTATGCTCTATTCCTTTGAAAAATCAATTTTCCTTACTTCCTTGCAAATTTCAAGTTGATCTGAATTTTTAATCGGTTTAGTTTTAAATTCCTCATCGTCTTTAACCTTAAATACATAAAGAAAACTTAGTAGGGCAGCTTCCTTTTTTTTGAAAAACCAATTTTCTTTAAATCTTTGCAAATTATGAGTTGATCAGAATTTCTGATTTATTTAGTTTCATCAGCAATGTATTCCCCATCATTTTTAATAACAAATACAAAAAAAAACGTTCTTTTCCATTCTCTTTTTCTTTGAAAAATCAATTTTCCTTACTTTTTTGCACATTTTGAGGTTGATCAGAATTTTTGATCAATTATGTTTTAGCTGCATCGAATTCCTCATCGTCTTTAGTCTTAAATAAGCAAAAAAAACTTTTTTGGAAAGCTTCTATTTCATGAGAAAATCAATTTTCGCTAAATTTATTCAAATTATGAGTTGATCAGAATCTCTTATAAATTTAATTTCAACTGTTACGTATTCATCATCATTTTTAATAACAAATACGAAAGACAAATTTTGTTTGTCATCCTCTTTTTCTTTGCAAAATCAGTTATTTTTGCAAATTTTGAGGTTGATCAGAATTTCTCATCAATTAATTTTTAAATAATCATCATTCTCATTAATTAAAACAATTTGACAGGATATTTTATTTATTTCTTTTGAAAATTGGTTTTGGTGACTTTTCTGCAAGTTTCAAGTTGATCAGAATGTCTGATCAATCTTATTTCTTCGGCAAATTGATTTTCTTCTTGTAAGTTTTAACTAATTCTCTAATTTGAATCATTACGGTAGCAATACCAAGTTTTCAATGGTGTAGATAACTTGAAAAAGCAACAAATTTGTCAAATTTTCGTATTTTTGTACATTTCTCAATATCGACGCATCTAAGAGCAAAAGTACAAGAGAAGAATATTGTTAATAATAAAATTTGCTACAACTTTCGTTCTAAAACTTTTTTTCTAATATGTTCCGTTTCTCGAATGTTACACCTAACAACTTTAAAAACCAACAAATTCATCAAATTTTTATATTTTTGTATTTTTTTTCAATAATGACGCATCTAAGAGCAAAAGTTAAAGAGAGCAACATTATTAAGAATAAAATTTGCTACAACTTTTGTTCTAAAAGTTTTTTTATAACATGCTCCGATTCCTGAGTGTTACAAACAGCTTTTTTTTCTTTGCAAAATCAGTTTTTCTTGCTTTTTTTTTGCAAATTTGAGGTTGATCAGAATTTCTCATCAATTAATTTTTAAATCCTCAGAATAATTTGACAGGAAATGTTATTATGCCATTATTTATTTCTTGCGAAAATTGAATTTGGTGACTTTTCTGCAAGTTTCAAGTTGATCAGAATTTCTGATCAATCTTTTCTTTGCAAAATTGATTTTATTTTTGTAAATTTTAACTAATTCTCTAATTTGAATGGTAGCAATACCAAGTTTTCAATGGTGTACATAAGCAATTAACAAGGTTTTCGTAGTCCAGTTCGTGTCCAGTAAGCGCCAGATGGCGAAACTCGTTGTTGTGACATTCAGAATAATAACAACGTTTAAGGCCGTTATCCACCCTCGCTCTCGACTCTACGGGAGGAAATTAAATTATAAGATAACTCTAACCATAACCTCAAAAAGGGTTTTGCTAGCTGCTGGCTATAAACGCTTTTCTCGGTTTATTTTTGCAGGATCGGAGTCGGAAGGGCGCACTTCGAGAAGCAACCTCCAAGCAACCTACGAAAATCGAACTTCTTTCACTTCGTTATCGCCCTATATGACCGAGCCGGCCAACCCATTGAAATCGAAAGGACCGCTTTTATTGGATTTATCGAAAAAGACCAGGTCAGTATTAAAATTTTTTTAAAAAATATATTCTTTGACAAAGAACAAAAGTGAAAGGTTATATAAAAGAGAACACTAGATTTGAGTACAACCCTAACAGAGAGGGGTAGATAAAGTCGTGACTTTAAAGCGTCGCGATGCTTGAGCGCCGTCGCGGTGTTGCCAAGGCAACGACGTCCGTTTCCACGAAGTGTGCATCGGCCACGGACTGGGGAGAAAGTGGTGGAATGAATAAATATATACGGGGTGTTTTGGTGAGGCGACCGATTTAAAGAGGGTGAGAGAGCGAGATGGAGGTCGTTTTAAAGGGGGTGGTGTACAGGAATTCCGCCTCTTCCCGCCAGCACGCGGCGGATGCTGTAATTGTGTTCGGGCTGGTGCAGAAGATTAGGGCCGCACATTTATCATGGTGTGTGCGTCTAAAATGCGGAAGAGAAAAAAGGATGGAAAAGAGAGGAAAAAAATGAGATGACTGAAAAACAAGGATGTTTGTTCGCTTTAACGCCACTTGTATTATCGTGGATTTGTTTTGGTAGAATTTTTTTAAAAACACGTTTAAAAAAAACTACATTATTATATAAATTTTATTTGTTGCAGGAAGCTGATGGCCAAAAAACGAATAATGGCATCCAATACAGACTACAATTGCTTTATGCGAACGGTAAGTTTTCGATTTTAAGTTTTCTTCTTGATGAGATTGTGGCGTCAGCAAACCCGAAACAATCTACTCGCTTGTCGCGGTAAGGGTTGTTCAGGAAAGTTCAACTCTCAAAGGGGCGTAAGTCCGAACTAAGAAAACCGCATGATGGAGAGGTTAGGTAACCACAACTTACTTCTTCTTGACCACTCAGATACTAACCCTAAATCAATTCAACGCAAAGAATCTTGTATGCAAAAAATTATTTTCACGAAACGCGTTGGTAAACAAAGGACCCAACAAAGGGGTGATGTTGAAGAGCCCTCTGAGAGTTATTTTATTACAAATAAGGACTCTTGGTCGTTACGTTCCGCGTTGAGATATGATAAAGCTCGATGCGACCGTACACTTTCTTTACGGCACATTGGAACATTTAGCGTTTTAGTATGGTTTATGAAAAAGTTATGGCGTGTTGTGTTTACGAACCTCGGGCATCTTCATAATGGCTCGAGGCGACCTAATCTCAGGTGGAACCGTTACTTATAAATGATTATAGCTCAGGTTTAAACTTTGATTTAAAGACGTATTAAATATTAATACCTATATAATATTATAAATGAATTCCACATCATCTTTAACAAAGAATACGAAAGGAAATTTTATTATGCCATTACCTACTTCGTTGAAAAATTGATTTTGCTGAAATTTTGACAAATTTCAAACTGATAAGAGTTTCTGATCAATTAATTTTCAACTCCTATTTGATTTTCTTTGATTTTTTGCAAATTTCTTTGTTAATAAGAATTTCTGATCAATTATTTTTTAATCTCTAATCATCTTTAAGCTTAAACAAAACCTTCTTGAGCAGCTTCTTTTTCTTTGAAAAATCAATTTTTTTTTTGCTTTTTTGCAATTTTTGAGGTTGGTCAGGATTTTTTATTAATTTAATTTCAATTCCATTGTAGTGTTTAATTTAAAGACATATTAAATATTAATACCTATATAATATTATAAATGAATTCCACATCATCTTTAACAAAGAATACGAAAAGAAATTTTATTATGCCATTACCTACTTCGTTCAGAAATTGATTTTGCTGAAATTTTGTCAAATTTCAAACTGATAAAAGTTTCTGATCAATTAATTTTCAACTCCTCATCATTCTCAATAACGAATATGAAAGAATAATTTTTTTGCCAAACTCTATTTCTTGAAAAACTTGATTTTCTTTGATTTTTTGCTAAAATTCAAGCTGATCAGAATGTATGGCATTATTTACTTCTTGCGCAAATTGATTTTGCTGATTTTTCTGCAAATTTCGAGTTAATAAGAATTTCTGATCAATTATTTTTTAATCTCTAATCATCTTTAAGCTTAAATATGTACATAAACAAAACCTTCTTGAGCAGTTTTTTCTTTGAAAAATCAATTTTTTTTCGCTTTTTTGCAATTTTTGAGGTTGGTCAGGATTTTTTATAAATTTAATTTCAATTCCATCGTATCTCTTATCGTCTTTAATCTTAAATACGAAAAAAAAAACCTTCTTGGGCAGTTTCTTTTTCTTTGAAAAACCGATTTTCTTTAAATTTTTGCAAATTGCGAGCTCATCAGAATTTTTGATTAAATTAGTTTAAATTGTCACGTATTAATAATTTTAAATAACGAATACTAAATGAAAATTTCTTTGTCATTCTTTTTTTTTTTAATTCAGTTCTTGCTTTTTTTGCAAATTTTGAGGTTGATCAGAATTTCTGATCAATTTTGTATTAACCACATCATACTCTTCATCGTCTTTAATCTTCAATGCATAAAGAAAAACCAATTTTCCCTGCTTTTTTGCCCATTTCAAGTGAATCAAAGTTTCTAATTAAATTAATTTCAGAATTTCAGAATTTTCAAATTTTTTCACCATATTCTTTCTGGATTTTTCTGGAATATTTCTAAATTTCAAGTTGATTCAAGACAATTTCTGATCAACTTAGTTTCAACTGCATCGTCTTTAACCTCAAATACACAAAAGAAAATCTTCTGGACCAGACAATTTCCAAGCATTAATAGACACACAATAGGGTTTGGCGCGTTATAACCAAGTCAGAGTTATAATGAGATGATCAATATTTTTAACGCATACCAGATTCTCAAAAAATGACTTACCAATCAAAATCAATGTGTATCTGAATCTCTTTAGGCAGTGTAAATCATGTATAGTATTGGCTGAGGGATTTCAACTAATGCCTAACAAAGAGAAGACAGTACAATCAAGCCTTTTATGTATAAGCTTGCATGTTGTGAAAGTACGATGATTTTGCATAATCACGATGCTAAATGTTTATTTCATGTCGTACTGAAAGAACATCTGCATCATTTGGAAGCAATTATCTTCAAAATATAGATGTTCCATTTTTCTGATTTTCTGGATTTCCATCATCATTTTCAATATTATGCATTTACTTAATGGCAAGAGAAGAATTTGTAATAAATCAGCTATAAGTCGCTTTTTACTGCCTCCTACACTTTTAACACTGTAGCACTGGAAATCACATGACTTTCACTCATCTGTAGCTTCTACTATCCGTGCAAAAAGTCAAGGTTTCTCACTTTAGAGATCGATATCTTCGTAACCGCTCGATGCAAAAAATTGCGGTAAAGTTTATTGTAATCAGTGAGCATTTCTGCGTATCACATGTTAATTTGGAAATTTTCAGGTCCGCGGTTTTGTTTTATCGCGAATTAAGTGAAAGAAGTACCCGATTTTTGAGAGTGCCAGCAACTTTGTCTACTTTGCGATTTTTTTTCTCCAAAACTATTTGACGAAAAAATAGAGGCGACCTAATCTCAGATAAAACTCTTAGTTATAAATGATTATAGCTCAGGTTTAAACTTTGATTTAAAGACATATTAAATATTAATACCTATATAATATTATAAATCAATTCCACATCATCTTTAACAAAAAATACGAAAAGAAATTTTATTATGCCATTACCTACTTCGTTCAGAAATTGATTTTGCTGAAATTTTGTCAAATTTCAAACTGATAAAAGTTTGTGATCAATTAATTTTCAAGTCCTCATCATTCTCAATAACGAATATGAAAGAATAATTTTTTTGCCAAACTCTATTTCTTGAAAAACCTCATTTTCTTTGATTTTTTGCTAAAATTCAACCTGATCAGAATTTTATGGCATTATTTACTTCTTGCGCAAATTGATTTTGCTGATTTTTCTGCAAATTTCAAGTTAATAAGAATTTCTGATCAATTATTTTTTAATCTCTCATCATCTTTAACCTTAAATACGTAAAAAAAACTTTCTTGGGCAGTTTCTTTTTCTTTGAAAAACCGATTTTCTTTAAATTTATGCAAATTGGGAGCTGATCACAATTTCTGATTACATTAGTTTCAATTGTCACATATTCCTCCTCATTTTTAATAACGAATACTAAATGAAAATTTCTTTGCCATTCTCTTTTTTCTTGCATTTTTTGCAAATTTTGAGGTTGATCAGAATTTCTGATCAATTTTGTTTTAACCGCATCGTACTCTTCATCGTCTTTAATCTTAACTACATAAAGAAAAACTTTCTTGGGCTTTTCTTTCTTTGAAAAATCAATTTTCTCTACTGTTTTACTCATTTCAAGTGAATCAAAGTTTCTAATCAAATTAATTTCAGCTCCATTGTATATCTCACCATATTCAATAACAAATACAACAACAAAATTTTTTATTGTGTTACTATAAATACTACCATACTACTTCTTTGGAAAATTGATGGAAATCTTCTGGACCAGACAATTTCCAAGCATTAATAGACACACAATAGGGTTTGGCGCGTTATAACCAAGTCAGAGTTATAATGACATGATCAATATTTTTAACGCATACCAGCTTCTCAAAAAATGACGTACTTAAGTATGATGTCCTTAACTGTACATTGCAATCCAATCAAAATCAATGTGTATCTGAATCTCTTTAGACAGTGTAAATCATGTATAATATTGGCTGAGAGATTTCAACTAATCCCTAACAAAGAGAAGACAGTACAATCAATCCTTTTATGTATAAGCTTGCATGTTGTGAAAGTATTTCATGTCGTACTGAAAGAACATCTGCATCATTTGGAAGCAATTATCTTCAAAATATAGATGTTCCATTTCTCTGGTTTTCTGGATTTCCATCATCATTTTCAATATTCAGCACTTACTACTTAATGGCAAGAGACGAATTTGTAATAAATCAGCTATAAGTTGCTTTTTACTGCCTCCTATACTTTTAACACTTGTTCCATGGAAATCACATGACTTTCACTCACCTTAGAGGAGGATTCCGTCCAATCGGAACTGATGGCGTGTCCAGACAATACGTCGCGCCTTTATTTTACCTACATAAAGAAATAAGGCGCGACGTCCTGTCTGGAATGCACCATCTGTTCCGATTGGACGAAACCCCCGTCACCTCGCAAAGCTTATTTCTGTTTCTCTTTAACTTGTAATTCCATTAAATTGCTCTTAAAAAATTAGGGAGCTCTAATTTTGAATAACTGATAACGGAATCTGACAACCGATATTATTTGACATATTTTGGTCAAATCAAAACGGATTTTCCGCGAAACTGTATGCAATATCGAAAAAATAAAATATGCCACTCATTAAGAACACATCAGGGTACCATCTGTTCAAAATTCAAATTTTTTCGTTCGATATTTTTCGAGAAAAAAAATCGCAAAGTTGACAAAGTTGGTAGTACCGTAAAAAATCAGGTACTTTTTTCATTTAACGCGATAAAAAGGGAACCGTGGGTCTGAAAATGTTCAAATTAACATATATTACGTAGAAATGTTCAGTGATTCCAACAAACTTTGTCGCAATCTTTTTTATCGAGCGGTTGCGAAGATATCGATCTCTAAAGTGAGGGGCCTTGATTTTTTGCACGACGTCTTCTTTACTATGCGCATTGTCCAAACTGAATATAAGTAGCAACATTACACATTTCAATTCTTTCAAAAACTTACTAATGTTATCAACA